GGAGGGCCACAAGCACCCAATTTCACTTCCTGTTTTGTCATGAACAGGAAGTGATAAGAATCTGTATGCTGTGCTTCAGCTCTAAGACTGAAATACAGGGTTAAGAAGAACCTGAGATACAAACCAAATTAACTAAGAAATGTTATCAGTCATCTTCATTAAATTTATAGTATACTACTAATTCCTTCAGGACAACACCTTAAAAACCCACAGTGAGAACAAATGGCCATTTTGAACTGAAGATTTCAACCAATTCAAATTTACAAATAGTTGTAATGATTTTTCAGGATTTTTCAAATGTTTGTCTTTCATTTAAAACTATCTGATCCAGCATGTTTTAAAAATGTTTTTTTTTCCAACAATTAATGTATTATGGACTCTGGCCAAAGCCTGGGTAACAGGAAAAGGGTGTTTAGAACATAGAACAGGTTTCTGAGGTGTAAGAGTGACAGTGCAATTTTCACTGATGACTACAGCTATGTACATAAAAATAGCATATGTCACATCCAAAACATCAGGTTTAGTTAAGAACCAAAATGTAAAAAGGCAAAAGAGGGAAAGTTATGATTAAAAAATATGGTTAATGTATTGTATAGTTAATATTATAGGGCAAACACAGCTCATGCATTTTCTTTGCATCACATTAATAAAACTCATACACATATGTGGTGTTGTGTCAAAGAAGTGGGTTTGAGGTTCCTCTGTACCTTGGTGCAGTCTAGAAGCTAATATTGTTCACCCCATTAGACTCCAGGACTTGTCCTTTGCAAGGATTCCTAAAAAATGTTTGGCTCTACAGTTGCGCACTCTAGAAGGATCTAGAATCTAGAATCTAGAAGGAGGTGAAAGCAATTATGGGAGGCCCCTTTCCCTATATTAGTAGAACACCTCTCTGGCATAATAGTAACGTCAATACAGGCAATAAGCCATTTGTATATAAAGTTTGGTCTAAACAAGGCATACATACCCTAAAATATATTTTAATGAGGAGGGTTTGAAGTCATTTCAAGATCTCAGAGAAGAGTTTATTTTGCCTGGTTTTCCCTTTTTTTTAATCTAAGACTGAGATCTGCCCTAAAAGCTTATGGTGTCCCTTGGTCCAACCAAATCATTCCACACCCTCTACAGAAATGTATAGATTCTACTGTTATATCAAGAGGCATGGTATCTATGGTGTACATGTCACTACTTAAGTGATCATATTCTAATCCTTCAGTGTCTTTGTTTTGGGAGAAAGAACTTAATGGAAGAATGGCTTTATTACTTCAAAAAAACCAGCACACCATATAATTCATTTTAAGTTCATACAAAAAGCATGTGTCACACCTAATCTGCTGTTTAAAAGTAAAGTTAGACAAGATCCAGCAGCAGTCTATATATATATATATATATATATATATATATATATGCATATGTTTTGAACGTGTCCTATCGTGAATGTCTTTTGGTCAAATGTTCAAGATACTCTCTCTAATATTTTGGGAAAATCTGTACACAATGATCCCCAGACTTTCCTCCTACTTGATTACTCCGCAGAATTGTTTTCTGCTCATCAAAAAAGGATTTTCTGGCCGGCCTCACAACAGCCAAAAAGACAGTACTGAAAATATATGAACCCTCCACTCCTGTGCATCTTCTTTGGCTTACTTATTTTTGAGACATCACTCTTTTGGAATGTACAATGGCCAGGATAAATAAGGCCAAAATAAGAACAATTGTGTCCTGGTCAAATCAAAAATAGAAATGGGGGTGGAAACTTCAGTACACTGAGTTCATTAATTTATCTGTTCAGTTATTAATTTGTTTATATATCTTCTGCTTTGGTATGTATGTCTTTTCCTCTTGTGTGGGTGTGCGACTGACCATCACTGCTGTCGTCGTTGATGTTGCTACTTTGATGTCTAGTGGTGATTGTTGACTCTGTACTGTGTCTGTTGTGGGGAGCTCTGTGGGCATGTCCTGGGCTTTTTAAACATAGTTCTTGTGTTCTTTTCGTTTGCTTGTTAATAAAATATTGATCACAAAGAAGTGGGTGTGAGGGGTTTTCTAGAGTCCACCTTAGCTAAGTTGTAATGAAATATATAACTGTCTACTTCTTTATCTCTTCCTAGTCTACTAAGCTGAAACACCTCCAAAAGGTCATATTCATGTGTTTACTGAGTAAAGCTTTCACCCACAGTTAATGGGCATTATAGTACAGGCATTAGATAACTGGACCTCTGAAGCTGATCTGCTGTACTGCCATTTTTTCCTTCTTTTTTCTCTCTATCAAGCCAAGTACCAGGCCTACTCTATAAAACATTCCATTGGTTTGCATCATAAATCTGTCAACAGACATCTGTCCTGATTAGATCTGGCCAGACTCTGGCTTTTTCTGGTTAGAAACAGTGAGGGAGAGTTAAGCATTCATTCATACATTTAATGCAGTCACCCTGTTAAAGTCAAAGTATGCAAGGAATGTTTTACTGTCAACTTTCGTTCTATACATGACCAGACCTGTTTCTTGTTCTAAAGCGAGTGGGTATACTTTAATATCATGGCTACTTTGTGTTTTTTTGAATGGTGGAAAAATATTTAGAGAATCTGTCACTATGTAGATGAACAAAGTAGCACAGAGTGCTTCCTCTTCAAATTCACCTGTGCATAACAACTCTAGAATTCAACTTTTGACATTTCAAACAGGAGAAATAAAATTTATTTCAGTTTCCCTGTAATGTAGTGTGTCACTGCAGCTGATAAAAACAAATAAAAGTGACCTTACATTATATATTTTTGAAACACACATTAACTATATTACTTTGTAACTGATGTAAGTTTAAGGAGAATCACAATTATGCTGTGTGGTCAACAAAATAACAGTAAGTAAGTGTCCCTAAAGCTACAGATGCATCTCTAAAGGTTATCAAAAGAGCCATTAACCTGACATACTGTTTGTATTTCATGAGAACTGATAATCATACTTTGTTTGTATATAGTCCTCAATTTCATTAAATTAACACATTTCAAACATTGCAGAGTCTGTTAGTAAAACACAAAGAGTGGTAGACCAAGGGTAAGTGTGGTCTGCACTCTTAACAATGAAGACTGGCACCTTTATTTAAGGGTTCTTTAGAGTGATAACATATAAGAACGTTTTGATGGGTGGTTCTTTAAAGAACCATTTTTGTCCATGAGATGTGCGAGTATGAATAACCTTTGTAAAGTTTAAAATACCTCCATATAATGTAAAGGGTCTAAACCAATTAAAGGTTTTGTCAAACCAAAGAGCATTTAAGAGTGTTGATTTTGCTGTTTTACTTCACAGTACAGGAAAGCTTTTTTGTCACAAACATAGTTATTTTGATACATTTTTTAAATGTACTCCCAGACATAACTACACTGCCCCCATGGGTGATGGTACCAGTCTGTATGTGCATGCGGAGCAGTGATCAAAAAAGTAAGGCAGTAGATGGCACAGTAATCAATAACCTGCCACAGCAGAAGGCAGTCAGACCTTCACACACAATAAATGCGGGCAAACCTTAATCCATGATCACTATATCCTTTTTCCGCTTAGTTTGTTATATCAATTTTGATTGGTAATGGAAAAGTTGGATGAAATGTGATTTGTAGATGAAGAGGTGAAGACCGCATCAGCATAAAAAAAAGCTTTAGCTTAATCATGCTGGAAAATAAGACATGTTGGTGTAGACAACATATGCATTTTACTTATGTAACTTAAAAAATACATATGTATTTTTCTGAAAATCAAAAGTAAGGCCTACAGCAAACAATCAACTTCTGAAAGCACATACTGCAGTCATAGCACATCCAGGGACAGGCAAAGAACGACTCAGCCATTACACCCACACAAACACTCACAACTCCCAATGCCACCCACATGCACAGTTTATTTTGAACACTGCCCATTTTCAAGAAGTCTATGTTATTCTGACCAGATAAGGAGTTTAAATCACCAAGATAATACTTAAGCGTATTTTAAGCTACTGTATTTCTATGTAGTTAAGAGGATAGCACCTGATGTTAAACAGTTATACAGTTATAACTCTCAAATTAATAGTAGTAAACTCCACAAAAGATGAACTTCATAATACTGAACTAATTAAACCTTATATGCGCAAAGTGGCATATGCACTGCATAACTGAACAGTGACCCATATACAGCATGATATATAGGCCAATTCATGATACAATGAAACATTATAACAAGCTCAGTCAAGGTTAGAAAAACTGAATACTGAAATTTTCCATATTAGGTTACCTATGATTCTGGCTGAAGGCTAATATCTGATAAAAGAAGCGCTTAGCATGCATGGCCGGCATGTGACCATAATGCATTATTTATTCACTGTTATTCGTATAGTGAATATCGTTGATTTAAAAAATGCATAGATATCAGGAACGTTTTGCTAGGCCAACTTGTTTAACGTTGCTGCCTTTGATATTCCATCAGACATAATCCTTGATCCTCATGAAGACAGTTTGAGAGCATGGGCCTATAGATGTTGCTAGATCATGCCGATCACAATGCAGTTCTACAAAACATTTATGTGGATTTTTAAAATGCGGCAATTTATTTACATCACGTAATCACGCACAACAAGCTGCATGTAAATGAATATTACATTTTTCGATCTTGGTGTGACACAACTCACCGAATGTGTATATAGGGAACAGCGTTTTATCGTACTGCGTCATGATTCAAACATTCTTGGTATACCTACAAAATTTTTGTACCATTTAATTCACACGAAGCCGATTTTATTTGAAACGATCGGTGCGCGGTCCTACATTTCTTTGCACGAATCACCCGAACAACTTCATATGAATAGCCGCTGAAAAACAGTGCTGACCTGAAGTAAACCAAACATCTCCATCAAATCAGTTTCCTAGCAACATTGCAGCATGGTAATCAGAGATTGATGGCCGCACTGCCCATCACACATCCCCACAACACAGAACAGGACACAAACCGAACCTGGACATTTCGATGCACTTACCGATTCAGAAAGTTTTTATCTTATCGCCTTCAGTTAATCTTTGTCTTCGCTTCTCAGTCCTGCTTTACTCATGTGATAACACTAAAGGTTCTAGTCCTTCCGGATAAAATGCAGTATCCACGTAATGGAAAAAGGCTCCTTTTCCTTCTCACAGACACACTGACATTAACTCATTAGTTCAGGCGTTTGCGTTAAGTGTCTTCATATCGTACTTTGTGCAAACTGCAGCACACGAGATACATTTGTATAATTCCTCGCTTATATGAAAAGGCATTCAGCTTTTCGTTGAGCACCCAACATAGCTTAGAAACGTCACGTTGTAAAAGCCTCCAGCGAAGTAATGTAGAGTGCCCTTGACTTCATTACATCCGCGTTGCAGATCTGAAAAATGCAGCCCGTTTATGGCGTGTTCCTCGCAGACGTGAAAGGAATCGTAGTTTTTGCAGAGTCACTTCTTCTTCTTGTCTCAGGCAAGCCCCTAAATGGCGAAATGGGTGCATCCATGCCATCTTAAACACCAAAGCTTGTTTGCCCGCTTCATCTGCGTGATCACTTCTGTAACGATTTGCCTTCACTGTTTCCTCTCACACACGACTAAAACAGAATGTAGCGCTCCGCCTGCTGGCTTTGGTCGTTAAACTGTGACAGCTGATGGAGCAAATCAACGTATATATTTTGAAACCCTAATAGTGTCGAGTAAGCTGTGTCACAATGAAACAAGGCCCTGCAAAAATGATGAGGAGTCAAATAACGTAAAACGCTATATTTTAGTTCTCTAGTAGGGTCTACAAATCAGATGAAGGCTTACATCAGTAATACTTATTACACAGCTAGTATGCGTGTAGTATGTATGCGTTGTATATTACACATTATACATAGGCTATTGTAGTGTAGTGTAACCACTGTATGTGTTTGGAAGCAGCAGGTGTTACATATTTTAATTCTGGTGTGTAGGTACAAAATATGAGTATTCATTTATTCCTATATGATGCACCTTTACAATGGTATGGTTAATAAGTTGTAGATTCTAATACCTATGCACAGCATAATCTGAATAAAGGGTGTCTTAATCTTATCCACAAATGGCTGGTGTGGCAGCATGTTTTCATTCCAACAAAGCAGGAGCACAGATGTTTGGCTGAGACATAATCATGTGTGCTCCTGTTTGATTGGAATAAAACCCTAAAACTACACCAGCCCTTTGAAAATGAGATTGGACACCCCTTCTCTGAATATTGAGTTTGTCATTACATGTCTGGCTGCTCCTGTGTCTACTGATGCCCCATTTTTCGTTTCAGTTGAAAATTATTCTTCTTATTTTACTGAGAACACTGTGAAAGTATTTGTTGTTGATGTAGGTCTGCAATAAAGTTTCGCTGCCTTCACCCTATGTTCCTACTGGATGATTACGGTGGATGGTACTGCAAAAGGCTGATGAAAGTTAATTATATTGTTGATATGGTTAAATTCAGAAAGAAGAATAAAGAATGCTCATGTGAAAAGTCAGTTGAGAATAGAATGTGTTGTATATGGCCAATCCTGTAAGCCAAGTAACAAGTCGTTAAATTGACGACCAAGTGAAGGATATCTCATTTGTCGTCGACTCCTCCATCAGTGCATCTTGTCCTTGCCTCTCTTCCTTGCATCCCGAAAACGCGAGGAAAAGATGCAAGGAAAGAAAACGAAGACACGCTATTGAAGTTGTGAGATGCACCTTTGGTGAGGTGGTCTTTGGGTTTTTGCTTCAGATTTCCGTTGTTTGTTTCAGGTTCCAGTAGGTGGCGGTATGCACTAATCGTTGCTACACCAATGGAAAGAGAAGAAGAGGGTTGAGCGTGACTATAATGCACTGCTTCACTGTGTGAGCTCAAGCCAAGCCAGTGTCTCACCGGTTTCTTTTAGGTTTCTCGGGGGTATAGGCATTTATAAAAGTCTTGGGGAATCTGACTGTAAATACACAACAGAAAAAGCAGTCATATCGTTAATTTGTGTTTAGAATTCCATACACTAAATTTGAGAATTTTTTAAAAGTCATGCCCCGTGACCACGCGTTATGACTTCGCGGCTTATTGTCCAGAATATCTTTTTCAGTACAAGAAGACTGACTAGAGGAACGTTAAGTCAAGGATATTTACCACTTTGGTCTATCATTCAAGGAGCAGGAAAAAAATACCTTACTGACCTGCCAGTATTGAACGAGAACGACTTGGAAGAACAGTTTGTTCGTGGTTCTGGACCAGGTGGACAAGCTACTAACAAAACCAGCAACTGCGTTGTATTGAAGCACATCCCGACAGGTGTCGTAGTAAAGGTATGTTCCTTTTTCAAAAAGCATCTTGTTTTTGTATCTCAACAATTACTATTTATATTACTATTTTATATGTATTCTGTCACTTTCTTTCCCAGTGTCATAAAACGAGGTCAGTGGAGTTGAACAGGAAGCGCGCACGGGAGATCATGCGTGAAAAACTAGACATTGTGTACAAAGGGAACGACAGCGAGCTGCTAAAAATGAAAGAAGAGTCGCGGACGAGAAAGCAAGAAAAACGAACAAAGGTTAATGAAAACTTGGAGAAAAAGAAACTCTTCAAAGAAATGCTGTCAGCTGACGCAAAGCGAGGAAATAACAACGAATAAGGCTCCAACAGGTCAACTATGGACAGGATCACTCAAAACAGCATTTCTGAGTTTTCCTGAATTAATACAGTAATGTTGGCAACACAAGCTGATGCAACATTTTCCACTGTTGTGCCCTCAAACTTATTCAGTAAACCCATTGATTGCATTCAGGACGAATACTTGTGTACTTATCTTAAACTGATAGAAAGTCTGGCCAGTTGCATGATGCTATTTCTTTCTGCTGCACGCAAATGTGCGTTCGATTAAAATGCTGTAATACACTCATCGGTCAGCACTGAATTTGTTACACGTGCATAGAAGTAGCCTAATAACAAATTAAAATCACTAAAAAACGAAGTACAAAAGTAATAAAGGGTCAGTGCAGTATTCAGTTACCAAACTGATTTATTATTTTTAGAAAATACAATATTAATGTATCTGGCAAAGAGAATTAGAGGATGAAACTGTCTACATGAAAATGTTTCATTTATTACACTTGGTGATAAATAAATATGAAGACGCAAACCGTAACGTTACATAACGTTTGACACATTCTGAAGACCCTACTTGCTTTTAAATGCCCTAATTTCAGCCATGCAATTTTAGAAAACAAAGAGGCATTTAAATGTAACATGTAAAGTTTTGACATATCTTAAACAATTAGAAACAATAAAGAGATTATAATGTTCCCAAACTGGAACATAAATATATTCAGGGAATTCCTGTCAAGTACAAATTGAGCTTGTTTTTGCCTTTCCTTTCTATATCCTGCTACATTTTACATTGGCCTCTATAATAGCCTTTACTTATGTGCCTGAAAAGGCATTTGGGTGTCATGGTGAAAACAACAGGATGAGGAAAGGCTGTTCATTGCATGTTGGTGCATTTGTCTTTTGTAGTTTTATCTTTTGGAGAAATGGATCCCTGGTTTGCATCTGATGGAATAGAGCTGGCCTTTAAGACCTTGCGTTTCTTTCAGTTTCTGCCAAGCACTCACGCACAAGACCCCTGGCATGGATGATCCCTGGAAAAAGGAGATAAACAGTCAACATTTTATAGATTTTTTTATTTCTTACATACTGGACACTGTCCAATAAAGATTTTAAAATATGAGTTGACATTTTCTTTGACATTAACATGACATTGAAATTCAACAACATAAGGTATATTAAATTACAAGGAAGGTTGTGTATGCAGCACATGCTTTCACAATTTGCATCATTAGGCCTTGTCAATTTTGTACTTTAATAATTTTTAATAGTACAATGTATAAACAAATTGTGTATGTAATATTGTACTTAGAAAGTGAGTACATTTAACAAATAATAGAATAAATTTATTGTGTTAGTTTATACTTATTTATCATATCCTAGCAGCAGCATCAGTAGTAGTTGTTGCTCATATTCTCGTCCTTACCTCGTTTTAGCCTTTCCATGGCGGTTTTGCTCCCAGCATAAGTTGGCCTGATTTCCTTTCCCAGCTCTTCAATGATAGCTAGCAACTCAGCATATTTGTTTTGAGGCACTTGTGTTCCACTGGTGCTCTGCCAGAAAATTATTAAAATTCTCATCAATGTTTTTTAAAGTAAATTCAGTGACCATTTATCATGTATGGTTATTCTACCCAATTCATAGGTTAGGTATAAACTCACCTGGGGAAACCCCAAAGATGGTGGTCCAAAGTCATTCACAATAGGCCTATAAGACTGCAGTGTTGCTATATTTGGAGACTGGGAATGTGTAGTTGTTGCTATTTGGTAAAAGAAAAAAAAAAACAAATGAGCAGAATTAAGCAGACTACTTACTTTTGACTTGAATTGAAAGAGAATGCGTAATTAAATCATAAAGTAAATCAGAGTGGTTTGATATGAAACAATCCTACATACAGAAACTGTTCACAGACAAATTGATCACAGTGGTGGTGATAAAAACCAGACAACCAATTGTTCAATGTTTCTAAAAGCTATTTCACAGAAAATTACTACAAGAAATGATTATGAATACATTGTCTTATGGCTGAAACAATGTTTTACAATAGTTTTGCAATAAGCTTTTGGCTTTAAACATTTTTAAAGTACATTCCTGGCAGAGATGTGCATGTACATGTATTTTTATGTACATATAAAACTCAAAGTCAAAGTTTATTCATATATTGCTTTTTACAAAAGGTGTTGTCACAAAGCAGCTTTACAGAAAAATCCATGTCCAAGCCCCCATGAGCAAGCCAATGGCAACAGTGGCAAGGAAAAACTCCTTAAGAGCAAGAGGAAGAAACCTTGAGAGGAACCAAGATTTAAAAGGGGAACTCATCCTCTTCTAAAGACACGTATAGGTTCACTGGTGGGCTGGGATAGTTTATAAAATGGTTATATGTATATTGTAGATATTGAGACCCCTGGTTCCTATCACCACCGCTGTAAAACTGAACGTAAAACTGAATGACTTTGTTTACATCACAACGATTGCTGACATTTTGAGAAACGTGGAATCTCCCTTTAAATATGGAAGAAAAATTTTAATTGTACATTATTTTCTGTCCTGGCAGTACAAGCCCCACACTCTCGCTTTGTTGCTTTGTGTACTTTGAGCAGGCGTAAATTCCATTTATTGTGCAATACGCCCCTGTAAACGCTGGGTGTCATTAAAGGGTTAGAACATTTCTTATCCAGATCAGTCTTTAGCCTTTTGGGAAGACTATCATGGAGGAAGCAGAACATACAGAATTCAGCAGCTAAGTGATACATTTTTAACACGTTTTGTTAACACCACTACCATCCGGACAAAGCGAAATATATGGAGTTTTCGCGGAGTCGTTCTGTTGATGAAGTTTCACTCTTAAAACTTTGCGTGGGAGAGAAGAAAGGGTTTTAAGATAGGCTAATAATGGCGGATATGAATCAGCTTGCAGGATCTGACCTTAAATATGTAACTGGACAAAAACTACCGACACGGGCTTTCCCCAGGTATTCATTACAACAGCGAATCTTGAATCGAAAAATACAACATATTTCACAGAATAAAGACCAAATTTGTAATACCTTGATTCACGGAAGTTCCTGGAACGTGTTGATGGATGTTAGGTTTGTAAGACATTCCCAGAGACATTATAAATTGAAGAATTAAAAACGTCCTGAAATCACTGAAGCGTTCCTGTTTCTCCCTCCGACACTTTTTGTTTACAGCACAGCACCAGCCGGCAAATATGGCCGTCACTTTATATTGACACCCACAATGCAATATCATTACAATAACAAATGTATGGCCATTCCACCTAAAAAGTCGTATTTTATGTATTTGAGACGTGATTCCAAAAAATGCTAAGGTTTGATAAAACCTAGGTAGACACTACCCTTTTAAATTCTGAATATACTGGTGAGACGAAAGAAGAAAAGTAGCCATGGCCTTAATGTTTGGACAACCACTTTAAGCATAAAAAGCGAATGCCAGTGTTCTTTTTCTGCAGAAAAAGTGATGATAAAACTTAGATATAACGAACAACGTGTCAAGGGGTCATCCATATTCTAGGATTCTGGCACATGTCCTAGTCTCTGTAACTAGATTGTTCGGGATGCTTGATTCGTTTAAGATTCATTATGCTATTAAAGTTATTTCCATTAGAATGCCTTAACTTTACATCAGATTAGAATTTACAACCATTGAACAAGAATAAATGTAGGTGTTGGAAAATAAACTCTACCTAAGTTTGTATATCGACATTTATTATCGAAGAACAGGGCGGTTTCTCCTTATCTGTGAGTTTGTGTACATAGACAGTTTACACAATAAAAATAAAACACTTTCAGCAAACAGGATGTGGCTAGCAATGCATGAATAGGAAGTCATTTGACTTCAGTTATTTCTGAGAATTGAAGGGAAAATAAAATTATGAGAAGCGGCAACATTCATTCATAAATAAATAAATAAATAAATAAATAAATAAAAATCCGCAATTTAGTGCACCGTGGCTGAAGTGGCAGGGGGAGGTGTTCAGAGTTCAAATCCCCTGCATGGCACAAAGGTCTGAGTGATCTGGGCCAATCACAAGGTTCTTCCTCTAGCAGCAAACCAATAAACGATGTGGTAGATTTTTAAAAACCCCGGAAGCTCGCGTTCTTTTAAGCCGTTCAGTAACAGCACAATCGAATTGAAGTTATTTATTACTATTATATATATTTTTTTTTACAGGACATTTTGCCGGAAAACAATAGTCTCCTGATTCATAAACTGTTGGCTGAACGTCTGAAATGGCAAAAGGTAAACAAAATACTATATTGTTTAGTTAACCAGACTATGTCGCCAGTATTTTTGTAGATATAACGTCACAGGGCTGACTTTAATAATTAACAGAACGCTTGGTCTATACGTTATTTTACTCTTTTCTAAGTAGTTTTCTTTTGATGTATTTGTGTAGTCCCTTTAAAGTTATGAGATGGTTTGGATTTGTTTTGACAATAAAAAAGCCTAGTTCTTTGTGAAAGCTTTATTGTTGTGCAGACAGAAGTGAGCAGCAGTATAATATAGAATGGCGAGGTTTGTCTCTGAAAAGTTGGATAATCTTGTTTCACTTTTTTGTGAAGGCAAGAAGAAAACGCTGACCATCGAGCCACGCAAAAACAAAGTTGAAAGAGAAGCCAAAGAAAACAAACATGAGACGAAAATGGTAAGATTGAAGAAAAGATCTTTCCGCTACAACTCGAACAAAAAACCTATAGCATTTTAATGACTTATTACGAATGATCGAATTTAAATGGTTTCTGACAAGCCATACATTTTTTTATTATTTAATTTTTGTTCATTTATAGACATGTCAAGAACAATCAACCCCACACAGTTTTGCAAGTCCTCTTTCTCCCCATCGTAAGAGTCCTCTTTTGCCTATTAATGAAGAAAATTCGTCCACATGGAACGTCAGTGACACAAGCAAGCACGGGGACGGTAAGTCACTCAAATTAAGGTTTGCTATACTAAAGCTGCTCGTTTGATTCTTCACATTCCCTTTCCACATTTGTTCACAAAATGCGAGTAGGCTACGTATTTACAGTTCTTGGTGCACATATTATAGCTACTTCTTTTTTCAGGGTAATTGTCTGTAAGTAGCGATGTGATCGTCGTCAGAGATCAGTTTCTTTGTCTTCTGATTCTATTGGTAGAATCTATTAGGAAAAACAGATCATATCACATCACTTTAGCATGGATTATAAGCTGATCTGATGTCTGAGGTGTGTATCCAACTATTTAAAATGGTTTTCATGGTTTCTTTAATTTTTTTTTACAGGGAGACTCACAGTAGAGTTGCATTCTAAGCAAGAGAATAATGGTGCACGGATCTCCTCTTTACCTAAAGAGAAGACTGTTACACTCCGTGAAGAAGAAGGAACCTCTGGTGTGTTACTATCAAACAAATGTGAACTTGGGACCCCTGTTAAAGTCAAAGTGAACATGCCAACCCAGAAAAAGTATGTGTTTTTAATCTTGAAACACCTTTATTTTAAGTTTACTTATACTGATATTTATGCTCAGCTGGAATTGGAGAAGTAAACACAACAAAATAAATGTTTCTTGTATGGTTTGTTTTAAGAAAAACAAGTTCACTCATGCGTTCTTCATTTTGTTTATTTGCAGAGCAGAAAGTAAAAATCCCCAGCACAGCCGGAAGGTCACAGATTATTATCCCATTAGACGGAGTTCCAGAAAAAGTAAAGCTGAATTGAAGGTGAGTGACCATGATTGAAATCTCATGCTGCATGAGATTCTTTAGAAGACTATAAACATTGTTTTCAAATTTTGTCAACAGTCTGAAGAGCAGCGACACATTGATGACCTAATCACAAACAACGTGGAAGATGGACTCAAGGTTAATCAATAAGAATACCTTTACTGTCTTGTGTAAAACTGGTATTTTATTTAACTTGATGGACAATGGTATTTTCTTTGTAAACAGGTAAAAAATATTGAAGGAAAAGGAAGAGGGGTTTTTGCAGACAGAGAATTCCGTAAAGGCCAGTTTATTGTTGAGTATCATGGAGATTTACTTCAAATTGCTGATGCCAAGAAAAGAGAGGCACAGTATGCTCAAGACCCTACAAAAGGCTGCTACATGTACTACTTTCATCACCTCAACAAAAACTACTGGTAAGTCTTTACCAAAGATGGTACTGCCTTTGTGTCAATATTCAGTACACCTGCTTAGGCACAACTTTTACAGCATTGTGCATTCACTGTGCTGTGCATATGTACTGTAATTGCTCCATGTTTTACTGATGGGGCAGAATAATACTGTATGTCACAGGTAGAGTTTGCCATTGTTCTGCCCATTTCTAGTAATGCTTATGCATTTTCTTTTGTATTTAGAGATTTTTATTTCTAAACATGTTCTTTCTCTTAGACCATTTTACTTTTAAAACATGATGGAAATTTAAAATTGGTTTTCCCCAAAAGAGCATGTAATTTCATTTCATAAACAAGCTTCTTAAATGTGAAAATGGGGTTCCTAGGGGGTACAACTTGACATTGGCATACACTATTTTTAGGCATCAGGAAGAACCATCTTTAAAACTAGCTAGCTCCTGGAAGATCACCTTATGGCCCTGTACTCTTCTGTGCTGGGTAGGTCCTCCAAACAGTATGGTGATTTGTACCGCACACTTTAGATTTGCGTCATTAGGGCACCTGTGCAGTCTCGCATGTTCCCTCTATCTGCCACACGAGAATGCCAATCAGGAAGTCACACAATTTACCTCACCTGGTCCCCACTGGAAACATGACTGGGTCTAGTTTATATATACGGTTAATGTTTAGAACAAGGCTGTTTAAAAATAAATAAATAAATAAATTCTTTCTTGTAGTGTGGATGCTACTAAAGAAACTGATCGACTGGGCCGACTGATCAACCACAGCAAAAATGGGAACTGCCAGACCAGACTACATGACTTGAATGGCATACCTCATCTTATTTTGGTAGCATCGAGAGACATTAAAGCAGAAGAAGAGCTTCTTTATGACTATGGAGACCGTAGTAAAGAAGCCATTGCTGCTCACCCTTGGCTCAAGCACTGACACCTCTGTTCCATCACATCATCCTGCTTCAAGTGGGATAAATCTGAAGGAGAAACTAGGTTTAGTCATGTAAGTTTAGTGTTTGCTTGCACTGTCTTTCATTATAAAATTCTGTCAAAGCCATTCTTAATCTTGGATGCTTCCACTGTTTTGTTCTATTGACTGTCCTTATTCCCTTGAGTGCCAGGTGGACCAGTTACTGGTTTAAGAACTACAGGTACAGATAGGTTTATAAACAAAATGTGCAAGTACAAGGCATAGAATGAAAGAATATACCATAATAGCTAAATCTCAAGAGTGACTTGTTTTGGGGGAAATGCTGCAATGAATGGAGATTGTGTGAATGTTTAAGATTTTATATTTGGCCAGTGTAAAAGGGTTAAATGGCACAGATTTGTGCAGATGGTGTTAATGGAGAGGGACCAGTGAAATTGGCAGTATTTAGTGAGATTTCTTAATTTTGTTTAAAATAGAATCTGTAAAGTATTATAGGGTGAAATATGATGAACACTCATTGAAGAGCACTGTTTTCATAAATTCTGGCTTTTATTCAGTATAATGCTATGTGATGTAAAAATGTCTCTACTGCATTTTATATAAATATGAATTTGTGAAAATCATTTTTGTGTATTATTTCAAGAAGTGACCATCTCCTTTTTGAATGTACATTTCTTGCAGAACAATAAAGTGTACCTTAGTTAGTTATTTATTCATTAATTTCTTGAGCTCTATTGCAGTAGTGCTTTAAGTGTCAAAGAAACCCAAAATGGACAGAGTCTGCAACTTTGTTTATAAAAGTTGTCATGCTTCAGTTAATGCCCTTAGGCCTCTGAATTCGGGTTGTCACTCAGCCCTTAAACTTATCGTTGGTGAGTCTTGTAGTATTCCTTATTCTACATTGTGTGCTAAAGATGAGTGGTCCTCTCTATCTGTGTGATGTGATGCATTTGCTTATACTTATTTATAAGGTTGTTTTCAGCTGCATGCTTTCATGTTCAGAGTCAACAAAGACATGACAATAGACTACCAAATTTATTCCAATGACTGACTTAGAATTGAAGTACCTTTACTGAACTTGAAAAACTAGTTTTAGTTTTTGTGCACCAGTGAGCTAGAATACATGACAGTCTTTTTAGATAACCACTGACAGACTTCTAACATTTATTGGTCATGGGTCAAGTACCTCTGTTTGGTTTCATCGCCACTGCTGTGAACAATTTCTTTCTCTAGTTCTGCCCACTTCTAGCAATACTTACATGTAATAGACATGATTGTCAGTATACATTATCTTTTGAATTTAAAGAGATTTTAGCCGAACATGTTCTTTCTCTTAGATCGTTTTACTTTTTAAAAGCGATGAACTAAATTTTAAAGGGTTTTTTCTCCGAAAGAGCTTGCAATTTCATTTTGAACAAGCTTGTGAAAATGGGGTTCTACACTTGACACTGCTATGCACTTCATCACGAAGAACTAGCATTAGAACTAGCTAGTTCCCGGAAGTGACCTGCTTAGCCGAACATCCAAGAGAAGCCCTCCATTCCCTGCTGTGAATAATTCTGACTTGGAAAGTTTCGCTAGCACCGAGCTCTTCCAATCAAACCACTCTGAATGACTGTTCATATTTTAGTTGTTACTTATGTTACTTATTATGCAGAGCTTTTGAGAAAAGCTCTTATTTCCAATATCCCAGCATGAAAAGATCTAATACAGTACAGTTCCGTCGGCTGTAGAAATAACAAAATGTGTTGAGGGATTTGTAACCATGCCATACTGCCCTTTCCTTCAGACAGACAGGGCCCAGGGCTGACAATGAATCTGTGAGCAGCTCAATCATAAACTGTAGCCCTGCAGTGGGAACTAAGATGGTCATCCAAAGGTAATAATGTTTTTTCTTGTGGATTCAGGTAATGTTCCAACTGAACACTGATGTAGATGCTGAAAAGCATGTAACCATGTTTCACATCACAATCCATCCAAAATATAGTCCCTTCACTAGTTCTCACTGAAAACATCTTTGCATATGTTGTTGGAAGAAAACCTTGTATCTCCACTGATAACTTTACTTTCAATGCAAGTCAATGGAACCAGACTTTTTTCCAAGACATTTTAAGACATGTAAAGGACAACAGGTATTTTCAAATTGTGTCTAAAAAACGTCAAAAATGGAGATACAAGGTTTTCTTCCGACAACAGTGATATGTGTGTTGTCATAGACTTTACATTCCCGCTCCACATCAAAATATTCTGTGGTAAAGCCCCTTTTCCATGTTTATCTGAATTAGCGTGTATAGAACTTAAGGGATTTGAAAAAAAATATATTTCTATTCAAAACAGTGTGTATGGAAAATAAGGCTAGAAATCCTTCCACAGCTTACTTCTCTACTGATGCCTTGGTAGTTTTGGAAAAATCCTTTTCCAGTGTTGTACAGTAAGGATATTAGTTCCCATATTCAAGAGAAGACAAAGTGGTTATAGAATTAGGTTAAATAATTGAAGCACGGTCTTTCAGGTGTCATATATTTTGCCCACTCTATTCTAATATACTGTCAGGGCCACAAGTGTTTCCTTGTTTTGTGTTTGGACTATAGATTTTTTTTTTTTTTCCTCAATAGTCAAGCCAAATTCAAGTCAAATTTATTTGTATAACGCTTTTTACAACTGATGTTGTCACAAAGCAGCTTCACAGAAATCCATTAAAGACAAAGTTTTAACATGAAATTTAAATCCTCTAAGTGAGCAAGCCAGGGGCGACAGTGGCAAGGAAAAACTCCCTCAGAGCTGAGGAAGAAACCTTGGGAGGAACCAAGGCTCACATGGGGGGACCCATCCTCCTCTGGTCAAACTACCTACAAAATTATTATACTACTAATATTAATAGTAGTAGTAGTAGTAGTAGTAATAGTAGGAGTAGTTAGGAGTCCATGAAAACTTCAGTGTAGAGTGGGAGTGTGCAGCTAGTCCAAGTCAAGTGGTGGTAGCTGGTCATGTGGCGGTAGCTCAATAGATGTGCATAAGTTTCCTAATTTCTCCACATTGTTTGGAAACTTTCTGATGTTATTTTATTGAATAATAAATATTTATTTAATAATATCCTTTCATTCATACATTTCATTTCATTTCATTAAAATAATTCAGTATAGCTTTATTTGCCATATTAATTGTGAAGATAAGAGAACGTGACCATTTCCTTGATCTCTTCTCAGCCTTTTTCACATATAAAGTTTTAACAGCATAGTGAAAATATTAGCAATATCATCCACAGACTGATTTACCATCTTTATTTGGATGGTAGTAAGTGTTCTTAAAAAAATGAATAATGAATAAAATGAATAAAAAATAAAAATTAAATAAACAAATGACCATCTCAGCACTATTTAAAGTCTGTGTGTTTGACCTTGTGAGGTAAAGGAGGCTATATGCTAATGTTAACTAGCTGACAAGCCAAGTCAATTATTTTAGCCTATACAGGAATTTTAAGGAACTCCACAGCAATCTCTAGTAACCCTACTGTTGGTGTTAATTAGGATAATTGAATCAGGCAGTGTTCAGAAAGTTGGGGGTCTGATGTATGAAAGAAGGCCCATATCCACAGAATAATTCAGGCAGACAGTATTCAGACAGTATTACACCTACAACAGATTCTCATTTGGGATTGCATGCTGGTACAGAATTTCACAATGCTTTCTTAATGTATTGTGGTGAATAGTGCATGATGTAGCCGGCAAAATCAGAATGAGATGTACTAAGGGCACTTTGAGCACCCTCTTCATGGATTGTGTTAATATCTGTCAGGTGTACCTGTTTAGTGTTTAAGGCTACAGTGACAAATAAGAATGCTAAGAGAACAATGGCTATGTACTACATATCAAAAATAATGCCAAAAAGAACAAAGAACAATAATTTAGCCATGACTAACAACATACAGTTTAAATAGAGTGGACAAAGAATAAAGATGGTAATGATGGTATAAAGTACAACCCTATATAAAAGTTGGGACACTGTGCAAATTGTAAAAAAAACAAAATGCAATGATGTGCAAATCATTTAACCCCTGTATTTAATTGAAAATAGTAAAAAGACAACAGATCAAATGTTGAAACTGAGAAATTGTATTGTTTTTTGAAAAATATATGACCATTTTGAATTTGCTGCCAAAAACACATTCCAGAAAAAGTTTGGATGGGGGCAACAAAAGGCTGGTAAAGTTGTAATTTGTTTAGTTTAAAAAGTTGTGTAATTATAAAAAAAAAACAAAAAAAAAACAAAAACACCTTGGCAACACATTGGCAACAGGTCAGTGGATATAAAAAAAGCATTCCAGAGAGTCTTTCAGAAGTAAAGATGAGAAGGGGTTCGCCACTCTGTGAAAGACTACATGACCAAATAGTGCAGCAATTCAAGAATAACAGTTCTCAACATGAAATAGCAAAGAACTTTTGCTTTTCATACTGTACAGTACATAACATTAAAATATTCAGAGAATCTGGAGAAATCTCTGTATGCAAGGGACAAGGCCAAAAACCAATATTTGCTGGGCATGATCTTTGGGCCCTCAGACAGCACTGCATTAAAACCAGATATGATTCTCTAGTGGGAATCACTGCATGGGCTCAGAAACACATATGAAAACCACTGTCTGTGAAAACAGTTAGTCGCTGCATCCACAAATGCAAGTTAAAACTCTAAAACACAAAGAAGAAACCATACATAAACAGGATCCAGAAATGCTGCCACCTTCTCTGGGCCCAAGCTCATTCAAAATGGACTGAGGGGAAGTGGGAAAAGTGTCCTGCGGTCCGACAAATCAACATTTGAAATTCTTTTTGGAAATCATGGACACTATGTCTTTCAGGCTAAAGACCACTCAGCTTGTTATCAGTGCATAGTTCAAAAGCCAGTATTCATAACGGTATAGGGGTGCATTAGTGCACATGGCATTCATCCACTGATAACATTTGGTGCATTATAAAATGAAAAATATGACAACTGTTGAACTGAACTGTTGAGCAGGTGAAATCCTGTATCAATGAACATCTGTGAAGGCATCATTAATGCTGAGTGACATATACATGTTTTGGCAACATATGCTACCATCCAGATGACATCTTATTTAGGGAAGACCTTGATTATTTCAGCAAGACAAAGCCAAACCACATTCTGCATGTATTACAACAGCATTGCTCTGTATTAAAAGAGTCCAGGTACTAAACTAGCCTGCCTGCAGTCAAGACCTTTCATCCACTGATAACATTTGGTGCATTATAAAATGAAAAATATGACAAAGGAGACCCTGAAATGTTGAGCAGGTGAAATCCTGTATCAAACAAGAATGGGAAACCATTTCCCTTTCAAAACTACAGCAATTGGTCTCCTCAGTTCCCAAATGCTTACAGAGTGTTGTTAAAAGAACCCAACTTTTTTTGGAACGTGTTGTTGGCATCAAGTTCAAAATGTGCATGTATTTTTCAAAAGACAATTAAGTTTCAACATTTGATATGTTGTCTTTGTAGTATTTTCCTTTAAAAGTATTTTTACATGATTTGCATATCATTGCATTCGATTTTTATTTACATTTTGCACAGCGTCCCACCTTTTTTGGAAATGCAGTTGTTTATAGGGAACTGATTAACTGTATATTTTCATATCTAAGTCAATATAAGCATAAATGAAAAGTGGAAAAACTTCAAAAACGAAAATCCACATTACAGCTGAACATTTTGCACAAACATTAAATTTTAATACTTTTATTCAGACAAAAAAAGCTTTTTGTTCTACTGTTTTTTTTTTTTTACAAAATGTGCTAACATATCTCAAACCACTTCGTTAGAAAAATCATAGAACTAACTCCACCCAGTATCAGGCAGAAAGCTAATAAATCTGACAAATAAAACAAAAGTCTTTGCATTTATAGATTTGTAATCATGTTCTCATGTGAAGGGTATGTGAAAGAGCAAATATGAATACTAAATGATAACATTTCATCATTCTTTCCGATCATTCTCATTATACCTTGATAATACCCTGTACACTGTTCCAAAAGAAAAAAATGAGGACCTAACCTCTACCCTAGGTAAGGTGAAGCACTATTTAAATCCTGTTCATCTAAAGTAAAACTCTCATATAATAACACGGCTTCCTAATTTTTGATATTAGCTTAACTGTTGAGCTACAACACTAACTGTTACCAAATCAGACATTTCAATCAATTAACCTTTAATTAAACTTGGAGTACATTGAGGGAGACCCTCATCAACAATGTAGCTGAGCCAATACAGAAATCAGGGACTGAGATTTAAGGTTTTATTTTCTAGTTTCACTAGAATACTTGGTGAAATGCCACTAACACTGGTATAGTCACATAAATGTTATCATATGATAATTTATTATGAACATTAACTCATCTGCAAATTCAATATCTAATATTTTCACCAATATCTTCTAAAATGAACTGAAAAAAGTAATCTTCACAGTTTTGTTAGTTTGAGTTAATATAATAATAAATCCATGTATTATGTGAATAATAAATTGGATTTGTAGACAGAAGATTGTTTATTCCTTCAAAAAGCCAAGGAAGGATTCTAAATACACACAGGCCTTAAGCTCAGTTTTTGCTGAGCATCCTAGAAAGATTTTGGCCGTCTTCTATTTTCTTTTAAAAGAGAACCTGAGAGAGAGAGAGAGAGAGAGAGAGAGAGAGAGAGAGAAAATATTATTGCATTTTCTAATACTAATATTCTAGACAAAGTGCCTCAAAACCTATTATAACACTTGACAGAATATTATAACAGAGATTTATATTGAAGCTTATTTAGATTGATGGACATCAGGTATACACTAAAATGAGTAATATAAAATGGCATTTAAAAATTCTATGTTCATATTAGTAATGTTGAGATATTACAATTTCCAAATTCGATATAATACTTGAATACTTTTTTTCCACAACAGGAGGTTTCCAGTAATTTAAGGAAGAGAAAAATCAAATTTACACAACTTTCCACTTTCCCCCGATCAGCCGAGAAGTGTTTGGTGTTCAAATTTTGCTTCTTTATTTTAGCATTAGACCTATGAGGTTAACATTTCTAACAAACACTAGAAGCCAATAGACACCCAAATCTTTTCCATAAATACATCCCCAAAACCTCTGTAAACCCATATCCAGTTCTGTTTAAGGCAATACAGGCTTGTTGATGTGGTTTTAGAACACAGTATGACAAAGTGAATTGAAAACTAGTAGGTGAATGCTGGGGGTAGCCATTTAGACAAGTTCATCAGCTACATGGTAAAATATGTCTGTAGCTAATCTTAATATGAATCTGTAGGCCCAATCCTGTTCTTTTTTATATAGCAACAGAGAAAGTAGTATCACAGAGAGTTTAAATTATGCATGCAGATATATTTCACTATGTAGAATAATGAAATGTTGCTAGTTGTGTTTCAGTGCAGATGTCACTACCACTGAGGTGCTGCCTGTAAGGATAAACTCTTGCTTTTTTGCAGTACACATCCTTTTGGCCAGTGTTTCTTAATGCTACTCATGGGGATCCACTGCACTGCCAATTTCAATTATCCCCTGCTTCAGCACTCCTGATGCAGCTCATGAAAGTCTTGATAATCAGTTGACAAGCTGGAGCAGGGGATAGCTATGCAGGGCAGTGGGTCCCCAGGAACAGGATTAAGGAGCAAACTGATCAAGCCACATTGTAGCATGAGATGCAACAATTTGGTAACACACAAAAATTCCAGTGCAGGCAATATGCACTGCAATACCAATAGCAAAGCCACGTCCATCTGTACAACAATGGAAATACTGGTCCTACTACTGATACTACTTCTGCCAACCAAATACTTATATTTGCACACTCTTTAAAGCAGTTCTCAAATTGAATCCCCACAGCCTAGCCAGTATAAGACTTAACAAACCAATAAAAAACTTACAGTTTCTGAATAGTGGTCTTTTCCTCATTTTGTTTTTCTTTGTTATCCTCTGTGGTCACAGAAAGTGGGGGTTCAGAGGAGGGAGGGGTCTCTAGATCTACTTCAACCATGTTTGGCTCTGGCTGAGGCAGAACACCACTAAACAAAGAACAAAGGCAACTAAAATGAAAAGCTACCAGTTGAGGGCAGAAAAAGACATATTATCTGAAATTTCTATAACTGTGCATGAAACATATTTGCAATAGGCCAATTACTATCCAAGTGAACTGGATCCATCTGCAGTGCTACAGTATGTACAGAAACTGTACATAAAGTGAGAGTATTATCTTGTTGATTTGGCCACAAAACCTTATTTACAACAAAACTACTGTGTTCTCTCACCAAACAGCTTGGAGTAACATCGAAAATTGTTCTAGTGCACTGAGAACTGTGTAGTGAAGGTTTCATTTTGGTGTTTTAACAAAGGGGACATATTATTTAGTATTTTCATTTAATCACTGTGTGTATCCAAATGAGAAGCACTACACCCGAGAGACACTTTTGTCAACTTGTAGCAGCTGTTTCTAAAAGCAACTGGTGAATGCATTTTAATTTTTACAAGCCTACAAACTTAGGTTCTTTTTCAGTTGTTCAGTAGAATTACTGTGGTATACCTTTTGTAAAGCTGCAGCTCTTCTTGGGCCAGCAGTAATTGTCCTTTGAGCTGGTTCCTCTCCTGTAAGACTTCTTTTAACTCCTGCATGGTGAAGCGTGGTCGGTTGGGGTCCTTCAAATCTATCACCAGTTTGTCAGGGCCAATTATCTGCTACAAGAAAAATTACATTTTTACTCTTTGCCAAACAGCTACACTTCATTCATTTTGAATATAAAGTAAAAAGGTACAGCTGTAAACCGGTCATAAGTCCCTTAGACTTTACAGTATTTCAACATTCTGATAAATGTATTGTATAAAAGGAGTGACTTTATCCACTATGGCAACATAAAAGAAACGTTATTGAGCATATTCAGGACGTGGAGGAGTTCAGTAGTCCAATTCTCTGAACTTATGACGCCATCAAAGTGATGAGTGCTGTTCATAAAACAAGACTCACATTATCATTTTCACTCGAACCTCCTGCAACGACTCTATCCAGTTCCCCTTTCAAGTTGTCCCGTTCCATCCTGAGCTCCTCTAGCGATAGGTCATACTTGCTCACCATTATTTCGAACATTTCCAACACACGAACAATTTTGAATTGTAAATCTGACACCTCTTGACCGCCTCTGTTAATTTTTAGTAAATCTTTACCAATCACGTATGAAATGTCATAAACATCTTCAACCGTAAGTTCCAGCGGGTCTTTCTCGAAAGCAAGAACCGGTGAACCATCTTGTAAATCTCCCATTTTCCTTGTAGCTGACTAGCTGAAGTATTTGAAGCGCGATATAACCAAGTAATATCCTACATTTGTTATATTAAGATATTTTATGGTCGGGGAATTCTGTCAAGTGCGTTCACTTTGCCGATAACTTCGCTTCCTTGTAGCAAATTGCGTGTTGCTTACTTGGCGACTATGTTGACTGATTTATGAACCAGCCAATGGAAATCCCTCCAGCTGCACCCAATCGGCATCAAGTTGCCATATCGACGGCTCAAGCCAGGCAGACAGACGCATACCGTGGGCACCTCATCTGTCTGAATGCAAGGAACACTGGGGGGCCTAACAACCTACTTGTACTGAATTTCGACTGCATGGCAGAATCCGACTCCCGTTCGTGTGCACGCGCGTCACAAAGGTATATGGACGCAGCAGATTACACTCGCGATTACGGTTGTTTCTATGTGCAAAGAACGGTTAATCTTTAATTTTCATTCACAGTAAACACCAGAACAGGACATAAGGCCAAACAAAAAGTCTCACAGTGATATCTTAAATAAACGTAATGAACTTTGACTTTGAGCAGCCCTCAGCCGACTGAATGCCTTTGAGTCACAACTCCAAGTCCATACTTCATTCAGGAAAAAAAAGTTTAATAAACGTTAAGATAAAGACAATTAAACAACAATAAATATACACAGGACTATATAAATAAAATAAATAGAATGAAATAAAATTAATACTTGTAGATACACCCACCTAACTTCCCCACATACCAGCACAATATAGCAAATATAACATTACTGTCCTGCATACATTGTCTAACCAGTTTTTAATCTTATCATACAGATTTTAAATGCACACAATCCTTTACCAGCAGTGGTGTTCCCTCAGCTGCTCTCTGCCTCCTCCGCCGCCCACCACGCCATAGATGCCAGTGAGGTTCCTGCTTATGATTTGCATTTAAGTTTACAGAAGTGGCACTTTCGCTGGGGGCTGTATCCCACATCTGACACCAATGTAGAATTGGTGAGGAAGAACATGTGGAAAATAGTGCGCTCTAAGCAAATGCTCTTTTATTGAACACAGCAGTAGTGAAGAACTGCTGCTCAGTACTGGTTAATATAACTGGAGGCAGGCAAGTCACCAATAGCCACACAACTCTAGACCACAGTAGATTCACAGAGCAACCTAGCTTCCCCACAGACCAGCACAATATAGCACATATAACTTTGCTGCATCTCTTAAACTGAACATCACCAACTAACTGTGAGTCCAGTGCTCCCATAGTACTCTGTGCATTGCCACTCTGCATGGCCATGCCTCTCGCACATCAGTGGCCAAAGAAGCCAGTAGCAGGACACTACAATATATACTTGTGAAGCCCCCTGCTTAAATGATCTGTGGGTTATATATTTTACTCAAAAAACAAGCGAGAACATACAAAAAAGTAAACATATGAATATAACGCAAAAACAAATATGGGAAGAAATGGAAAGAGAAACATGAAAATATAGCTTACAAAAATGAGATTGCCCAAATTGTCTAAATTGCATAGAAATAAAAAATAAATTGCCTAAATTGCATAAAAATTTGTGCAGGCCTACTTACCAATTTAATAAATGATACAAAGATTATTTTTCCTATATTTTTGTATTTTCTTATATGAAAAGCTCAGTTATGGTTAGTGTCTATTTTGAGCCAATTTACAAGATTCATTCAATGTTCCCAATTTGGCAAATTTTATAAGTGTGCCACAGTGTACTTTTTGGGTTATCTAAATCTATATATCATGCTAACCAGTTGCTAACCTAAATATTTTTCTACTAACAGTATAATAGTAATAGCAGCAAAAGGAATTAAGCTGTATGCCTAATGTACATACACCATGTATCATACACTGATGCCATGAGAGCTCCAAAAAGACTTGTAAGGACTAAGCTGAAAAGTGTACAAATGAGGCCTCTGAGACACAGGCATAATTATTCTGCTTAAATGAACGGTATTAAATACCTTGCTTATGTTCTCCCACCTGATCTAAACATATAGAGAAAGTGCTCGGTAAAGAAATATTGACAGATTCACTGATTTTCACACCAAACTTTGATATATATAGTGATATTTATTATATATATTATATACCTTAAACTCAAATGTAATGACTTACAGCAGTGCTGATTTATTAAAAGGCCCATATCATGGAAAACAACATTTCCTTTGCTTTTTTGAAATTACAAAGTTTGATGTAGCATGTAAACATTCTTAAAATTTTTAAATGGATCATTCGCTCTATATACAGTCCATTTATGTAAACTAAGCTGCAAAAAAAGCCCTTTTGAATTTAATGTTTCTATGATGTCACAAAACCCAACAGCTTTATATATATCCAGCTATTCAGCCTACAGCAGTTTAGTTCACGCTGAAGGAGGAGTGTTTCAGCCTGGACTGCTTTTTGAAGGCACAACAAATGGCAGCCAGACAGAACATCGTCGCTGTCCAAAGAAAAACACCTTTACAGGAAAGGGCAAAAACATTTGATACTTTTAATGTAAGTTAATGTAAAGATATTTTATTCCAAACACTTTTGGAGCAATTCATCCATTCATTATGAATTATGAATTTTTAAGTGTTTTTTGGTACATAAACCCAAATAAAACCCACACAAACATCAAAAGCCAGACTGCAACTGTTTCACCTTCAGCCGTAACTCAGCTACATTTCTTTTATGTTTAGATTTCTTCTTTTACATTTAGAGACAGTAAAGTGTAGATCTAATGACCATCACATTTCTAAATAAATAAATAAATAAATAAAATTGCTATGATAAAATCTTGTGTTTTCTTGCAGCCAATTTTGCATGACTAGTATATTTGCACATTTTTTTAGCTCTGTAGTTCAGCACAATTTTGGCCATTATCTGTTCGTCAAATCTGTTAGTACTTTGAGCAAACAAGTGCAGTTAAAAACATTCATTCTTAATTGTGAACCTTGAAGTGGCCATTTTTAGCCTATCACTGCAATCAGAGGAGTTTTTGTGACATTGTATAAAACATGTTCAAATGTATTTGTAAGTCACCAAGTAAGCTTGCACTGGGAGTATGTTGTCTTGTTCCTCCAATAACACATTCCCCAGTCAAAGAAAAGCAAATCTAAACCTGGAGAGGAAGAGGAGAGAAAACAGGGGCTCAATGTACAAAACTTTCAAGGGTCTTATATTATTAAGATAACGTGAGGCGCTAATCTGTGATTTTTTTTCAGATCTGAATCTTTGAATTCCTGTCTTGGAAACTTCTGTGTTTTCATTTATTTTTTCTTAAAACTATGTGAAAATGTAATTATATACAGGGTTAGCTGAACCGTCATTTATCCATACTTTGCATTTAACACTGTACATCATTATATTTTCAGTTTATTAAATAGCACCACTCAATTTTTCAGTACACTCACATTTAATAAGCAATGCTAGTAACTGTAACTGGTTATTGCATGACAGCTATAGAAATGTCAAAAACAATACCACTGAAATGAGCCAACTGATTGGCTGCAGTGTGGGATCGTCGTTTATCAAACCTGCTGCTACCATCGGCATAACAGCGGTAAACAGCCTGTTCCAAAAAAAAAAGAAAGAAAGAAGAATCAAGCTACTATATGATCATCTTTTAAGGTACAGTAATATAATAGATTTTTCTACACACCTTCGTATTTGCATACTAATTACATATTGAGTTACAGTTGTTAGAGAAAGACTGTGAATTACAGTATCTGCTTACTATGCTTTTTGTGATTTCTGTCATATATACTGCTGTCATGATTTCTGTCTTCTAGCACACTTGAACCCAAAATACATAAAAACACAATTGTGGTTACCTGCTCTTCATAACAGAAATCTGTTCAATGCAATAAGGCCAATTCAAAAGCATGCTCTTAAGTCCAATATGGCCCAACTAACAAAGGTTTCAGAACAACTCAGAAGAGATGTGACTGAAGCTCATAAAGACTGGGGATCCCATCAGCCCAAGGTCACAACAATTTTTTTAATGGACTTTTAAGATTTGAGTTTATTCTACCTAGACATGGAAATCCCTCAGAGTTCATTAATAGAGCACTGTAGCATCCTCAAACAAGCCAAAAGGAACCCTCGAGGGGCAGCTAAAGACCTACAGGCATCTCACCTGTGTTTGTGAACACTTTTCCAAAATTTGGTAGAAAACTGAGATGTTACTCTAGCATAAATTATACATTCCAAGTGTGCCCACACACACACTCACACACACACACACGCATACACAAAGGCAGGAAACACCCTGGACAGGTCACCAGTCAATCGCAAGGCAGACACACAGACATATACATTCACACACACCTAGGGGCAATTTAGCATGTCAAACCTTTCATTTATTTAATTTCCTGTCAAAACAGTCACTAAGTGTAAATGATTAATTTTCAGCATCAGGAATCGAGTAAAAACATCAATTTAACAGCATATTACACAGAAGCCTCCACAACCATTTTTCAGGATTTATTGTGCCTACTCTTTGCCTTTATTACAGCTTACATTCTTTTTGGGAGACTTGTTTTCAGTTTTTCAAAGAAGTCTGCAGGGACATTTTTACTCACTTTGAAAGTTTAATCTTAGATGTTGGTTGCGTTTTTTTGCTTCTCACTGTCAGTACCCAATAAATTTAATAAGTTTGAGTTCTGGGCTCAGGGTAGCCCATCTAATCTGAGAGAATCAGCTTCTTTACTTGCAAATAAATGTTTTTGTTTGTTTTCAGAAAATGAAAGGACAGAGAGAAACATCTGTGATTTTTTTTCAGATCTGAATCTTTGAACTCCTGTCTTGGAAACTTCTATTTTCATTTATTTTCTCTTAAAACTAGGTGAAAATGTGGATTTCCTTGTATCTGATCTCCTCATAAATATGTACTGAAAAAATAACTTCAACTTAATGGGCATTTAGACTAGAAAGCAAATAAATGAAGGGTCTCTGACATTTGTACCGCACTGTACGTGAAACAGTTTCAGGTTAAGATGGAGGTTATTTCAAATAAAGGAGGTTCTACTAATTATGGAATACATGTGTTCTTGTTCTTGTTCTTGTTCTTTTTTGTTCAAAACCATTTTATTTAAACTATTTGTTTGATGACATTGCTCTATGATGGACTGGCAGCCTGTCCAGGGTGTTTCCTGCCTTCCACCCAGTGACAACTGGGATAGGCTCTAATATCCTCCACGACCCTGAAGGATAAGTGAAAATGTGTGTATGAAAATGTGTGTATATCTTGATGCCTGATTCAGGTTGATTGTTGGAGGAGGGTTGTAACGCTGGTAAGAGTATAGGTACC